CACGCATGAGGAGCTCTCGTTTATGTGCTGAGTGAAGAGAATTACCTGTGCATACATAGGTCATGCACCAGCTCATATAAAACAAGACTCTAACACTATAACAATTTCATAAGATCAGTAAGATGTTAAAGCACAACTTTATAATCGATAGTCATTTCGAAATATTTACCGTTTTTGAGTTATAAAGCAAAAACTTTCAAGGTCCCTTGATCCCTAATTATAGGGGCCAGCCCCTTTTAAATATTATTATATAAAAGCCCTTACAATTATGTACAACTTTTGTTCATTATGTCTTAACAAAATATTTTTAGTTTTCAAGATAAAAAGAAAAATATGTGTAAATTTTCGCTCTTTTAGGCGTTCTAATTTTTGACCCCTATATAGCGCCATTGTGAATACAGAAATCGAAAAACAAAAACCGATGTGCACAACTTCAATCCTTCTGTTATCCAAAATCGTTAAAAATTATGCTTCAGCTTTTGTGGTCTCTGAGCCTTTATCCGGAAAGGAAAGCCTATAAATTTTCGTTTAAAGGGAAATAACTCAAAACCAGAAGTGACTTTTTGAAATTTTAGTCAGCATTCTGGTAGAGTTTATAAACGTCTATAACCTCTAAAAATTTGAGAGAAATCCGTTGAGAAATGAGTGAGATATGAGGCCTCAAATTTGCGGTCTAGGAAGTAGAAGAAAACTAGAGCCGAGCTCGTTGCAAAGCAACGAGTAGGTCTTCCGTCGGAGCTGCGGACAAGGAGAAATGACCTTGGGTCAAGGTCATGCCACATTCTACTGTTAAAGCAATCTTTTAAGGGCAGATGTCATCTTATTTATGTTTTACTATTAAAAAAGATAGTAAAGGAATGTTTGCGTCACACCATGACACACGCTGGTGATAAGCAAAGCCATTTGTGTGCTACCGTATTGACGAATTCTTAAGCTATATTTTTTTCGATAGGCTTTGTCACAGCTAATACGTGTATACATGTGTAAATCTAGGTATGAAAGTGTTATCCTCTCTTTATCATATGTCATGGTCAATTTTAAGCAATGTTTAAAGCCGGTTAAACTTTAAGGTCAAAGTTCATTATATGCTAGTATTTGAAATGATTTTATCACAGGTCACATACATTTGATTTTTGTGTAATACGAAAACCCTATCTCTTCTCATTCAAAAGTTATGATCAAGATTAAAATTGTGAAAAGTAAGTCAAGCCTCAAGGTCACGTTGTCAAAATCAGCGTATATGTATTTTAAAAAAATGTTGTTACAGGTAATACACAGTGGTAAAATAAAAGCCCTAATCGGTCTCTTTTCTCTCAAAAGGTATAACTATGGTTAATGTTTTTGAAAAGTGGGTCAAACTTCAAGGTCAAAGGGTCAAAAATCATAATGAATTTTCAAAGGCGTTGACACAGGTATTACATGTACATGTTTATAAAATGAAAGTTTTCAATAGTTATGGTCAATTTAAAGTATTGGTATTTTTTAAGTAGGTCAAGATCCAAGATCAAGGTCACGGGGTTAAAAATCACAGTATATTTGAAAATTACATGTCACAAATAATGCACATGTGAAATATGAAAGTCCTATTTCAACTCATTCAATAATTATTATCAAGTTTAAAGTTCTCGTGACAGATGGACACTGTCAGACTGGTTGACAAATAAGGTTTATTGTGTCCTAATAAAAATAAATACACGTTATTTAAACATGATGAATTGAGAAATACGAGGAATAAAAAACTAGAAAATATTAGAAAAATATTGCACTGAAGCTATATTCAAATCCGTTTTTTTCAACCGCTTGAATCTAAAAATATTATTTACCGTGTGTCTCTAACACATTCCTTAAACTTTTCTACAGTTAAACATTCCTTACAACCGTTTTTAATTGTCCTTCTGAGCCTGAACTTCAGATAATATGGATGGCACTGTAGCTCTCTGGTGATCCATCTCAATTTTTTTAGAACAGCTAGCGAGCTACAGATCTGCAGCATGACAATTGTCATAAAGTTAACTTTACAAATTCATTTGATATGTAACAGAATTGAATTTTATGAAAAGAATTATTTCTAATGCTTATTTTTAACATATGCTAAAATTATTTACCTATCAAGTTAAGTTAAGACAGTAAAAAGGACATTGATACTCAGTATTTATCTAAGGAGTTAGTGTCAATCCTCAACCTCAAAGAGCGTTCGACTTGTATGATAATTGCGTATGTGTGATGAAACTGCCGTGAACTATCCCGGTCGTGAAAATTAGATGTACTGGACATTCCGTCTTCAAGAAAATATAGTTCTAATTTGGACTATTCCGAGTTACCTAAACGTTTGTATGTATGTCCATGTGTGAGCGTTTCAACCTGTCTTTGTTTTATGTGACTTGACTTGATTTATTTTTCAAAATACAAACTTTAACGTTTTATTGCTTGACTTTCGTTTTATAAATCACTTGTGTTACTGTCACCAATTATATTCTATAAACTTTATTTAATTGTCAGAAATGCAATGCAAAATTCAGGATATCAAATGCAGCGAAAACTGGTACCCCCCCCCCCCAAAAAAAAATAGTAGATATAGTACATGTACACACTTCGATGCTCGATTGTACACTCTAGAAATTAAAAAGTTTATGAATAAAAAAGTTTAGTTAGGCATACTCATCTTTGCCGACCTTTTCTTAAATTTATTTGACAACCTGCGAATTAACAATATCGTGTATGATTTTTTGGTTAATATTATAATAGGTTATGGAGTAATCATGGATTTCATCACCAGCCCTGGCCTGCCATTCTCGACTCTGAAGGAAAGCATTGTATCATTTCAGGGGGGCTACGTATCGCAGTGAGAGGAAATTTAATAATTTAATCTCTTTTAGTCCAATAAACACGAAAGAAAGGCTTGGAATATTTGTATGAAATTACAGGAAGAAATTTTGCATTTGTTAGAAGAATTTCTAATTATTCTTTTTTTTCTCGTATTCTTAAAGCTCATGTTTGGTGCTCTTCTGTGTAAAACAGCATGTAGTTTAGTTAATATTATGTACATGCACATAAAATCGTGTCATTGTGATATTCTAGCTTTTTATTTGAGGAAATCAAAGAAATTTATTAGCATATCATGCGGAAAAATACAATGATAAGTTATGTAGCAAATTATGCAAAACTCAAAGTTTCTTAATTTTATTTTCGATTTTCATGAGAATTGAAAACGTCACTTCCACTTACAATTTACTGTGTGCATTTGTCATGTTTAATTGTAATTGCTACTTTTAACAACATCGCAATTTTTTCTGAAATGAATTAAGCAACAATTAGAATAACTTGATATAGGCCCGTATACATATAACGATTGCAATTACTTCAAAGTTGAGAGGGAGACGACGGCGCCTAAAAAAATTTGTCTGGAAACGAACAGTACCAAATTTTCACTTAAAGGGAAATAACTCAAAAGCGGAAGGGGATTTTTGAAATGTATGAAAACATTTTAATTAAGTTTTGTAACGTCCAAAAACTCTGAAGATTTAAGCGAAATCCGTTCAGAAATGAGCGAGTTACGAGGTCTCAAAGTTGGCGTCTAGGAAAAAAAAAGAATAATAGGGAATAATCTTAACCATCAGAATCAGTAGAAGGTCTTCCGCCTGAGCGGAAGACCTTAAAAAAAGAATAATAATCTTTACCATCAGAATCAGTAGAAGGTCTTCCGTTGGAAACGGAAGACCTTAACCAGTGATAATTGACAATTCGTTCGAGTTGAAGCAACAGCAAGTGTTTTATCTTCTCACGTGTAAAATTTTGACAATTTCTGCTATATACGAATACAAACAATCATATGTCTGCTGATAACAGGGTGAATTTTCACCCCGTTATTGAGAATTCCAATAGATTGTTGAAAAACCTTGTCTCCAAAACCCGTATAGATATTGTCAATCAAAAATTCAAGCATCTTTTTATCAACTTCTCATTATTTGTGTGTACAATTAGAATGTTTTATGGCAACTAATTTGCAAATGATCAATATGGTAAGCAAATTTATGCATTCTATTTTTATTGACAAAGCAGCTGTCAATGATGTCAAAAAGCCTGGACTTTAATTTATCGTGGGGAATGTTTGTACATAAAGTTGAAAAATCGTAAGTTTGAGTTATTGAGTTTGATATAAAATGCAAATATATAAATAAAAAATACTGTCTAAAAATTGAAATACACGAAGCATTCCATGTACATTGCCACAGCACCCAACCACTATTACCAAACAGGAGGAAATTGAAATGCATATATCATAAACTTTATTTTTTTTAAAAAAAAATTAGTTTCAGTTGTAAATATCTCACCATTCAAAACCTTATCACGGAGAATACAGGTCAGAAATATATATTCCCAAGTGGTTGAGATTTAATTTTGATCAAAATCTGGGCAAAGGTGGGGTCCCAAATAAGATATTAAATAAGAAAAAAATTAGCATCTTTTATTTATTTAAACATCGGGTGATGAATACCATATTCTGGAGATTTCATTCGTTTAATTTATGGTCCTTCGGATGGGAAAAAAATAGGTGACCAAACTATTCGATATAGGAATTATAAATGAAAACCTTTAAAATCTGTTATTTAAAAAACTAGGGAATAAATAGGGAAATTCCCTTACCTGATGAACAGTATGGTTAAGGTTATTCATATGAAGATTAAACAATATACGTGCACAGTCTGTACATATATACTCATATTGCTAGTTTTTTTTTTAAGCGGCATTAAAGCTGAAACATGTTCATACGGCCCTAATCAGTGGCGGATCCAGAAATTTTGAAAAGGGGGGGGGGGAGCTCGACCAGTCTGAGGTCAGGGTAGGGACCACAGCCACACTGAAAAAAACTGATTTTTTAAATATTGTGTATTTTTTTGGACCCAAAAGTGGGGGGCTGGCCCCCTGGTCCCCCTCTTTATCCGCCAACTGGTGCTAATGTGCTGAAAATGATAACGAGTCTAAGTCTAAATTTAGAATTTCAAATACGCATTGGTGTGCATTAAAGTGCACTTAATATATGCATTAAATGCGAAAACCGAAAGTGAAGTATTAGAATTATGAAAACAGGATAAAGAGTGAAAATATTGTTTCAAAGATAAACAGGTCTGTACAGAATGCTGTTCGGTTTAATGAAAAAAGTAACTTTTTAAATGATATTCCATAAAGTATCGTTTTATGAATATAAATGATTTCCTTGTAGATATCGATTTAAACAACAAAATGGCGACGGGCGACATTGGGTTTGCTCAAATGTTGATACGATGCAAGTGCTGCCCCAACAAGGCAGAACTTTTCTGCAGGAGTTGTGACGTTAACATGTGTAGAAATTGTGTTGCTTCGCATACACTTTCTCTACCACAGGAACACGTCGTTATCAAATATTCAGCAAAATTTGATGTTTACCCAAAGCCATGTTGTCCCAAACACCTTGAACAAAAGTGCAATCTTCATTGCCAAGTTTGTGATATTCCTGTCTGCACTGAATGCATTGCATCTGGAGAGCATGTACGCCATGAGATGCAGAAAGTCAGCGAGAATCAGAAAGCAAAAGAAGGGGTTGTGGTCGAGGAAATAAAATTTCTGGAAGAGAAATTAGTTCCCGAATATCAAAGAATCATAGAGCTAATAAAGGAAGATATAGATGAGTTACCAACGAGGAGTTCCAATTTAAAATCAGAAATGTTAGAACAAGGAAAAGAACTGCACAACGCAGTTGAAAGGGTCATCAATAAAAGACTCTCTGAAATCGATGCTATGGAAAACAAAAATTTGGATGAACTACAGAAAACTCTGTCTGAATTTGAAAATCGCTTAGCTGCTATTCTGGAACTTATCAGGAAGAATAAAGAAATTCTGCAGTTTAGGCAAACTGACATTGCTAATTCCCAGTCACATTTGAACAAACTAAGCCAGTTGCCGCCAAGGAGGAAGTTTTCACCAGGACGATTTGAAGCAGAACCAGTCAATGACGAAAAAATATCTTCATTATTTGGTAAGCTGCATCCTTCGTCATTGAAAGCTGTAATTGAAGACAAAGCTGTGAGCAGAATAACAAGAGAGCTGTCGTTTCTACAGTGCTACCAGAGAGAGTTACTTGACTGTCCAGAAATCATTGCCACTACAGATATTAAGATCAAAGAACCCTGCTTAGTCAGTTGTCTTGGAAACAATGAAGCCTGGATAAGTGGTTGCCGTGGTAACATGACCCGGGTTGACAGTGAAGGGTCAGTTCTGGAGACGGTCATCACGAAGTCTGGTCGATATCCTCATGGTCTGGCGATCACCAGCGATGGCGATCTCCTATATACTGACTTTGCCAATAAGACCATTTGCCGCGTAAGGAACGGGAAAGTTGATGTCTTGATTCACACGGAGGGTCACCCGTCTGGGATCTGTGTCACTTCGTCCGGAGACATATTGGTCGCTTTGTATGAAACAGAAGTGAACATAGCACGGTACACTGGTACATCAAAAATACAAGACATTCCTTACGGTGAAACAAAACGAGCTTTGATAGAAAATAATGATATCTGGCTCCAAATCGCTGAGAATAGGAACGGAGACATCTGTGTGAGCGACTTGAACTCTAAAGCAGTTGTCATCCTCAGTCAAGAAGGAAAAGCCAAATCTAGATATGTCAAGGCCACTAACCCACATTGTATTACCACAGACAGTGTTGGTCATATATTGGTATCTGACAATCACCAGAACTGTGTCTACATCCTAGACAGCCATGGCGCAGGTCTATCGATCATAAATAACTGTCTACTGAATGTCCCTGTTGGAGTGAGTGTTGACAGTGACGACAGACTGTGGGTAGTGGAGAGAGACTCTGGAAAACTGAACATCATCAAGTACATGAAATAGAACAATCTTCAATCTCCACCCTTGACGTGCATAAAATTGACTAAAGGTGGATAAATCTATTAACAGCTAAAATCATACGATCATCTTGTGACTTAACAAAGAACACATACATAATTTGCAATATTCCCAGAACTTAAAAAGTTAACTTGTGATGAAAGGAATTAATGATAATGATTTAAATGATCGTTTTGAAGAAGACGAAGAAAAATCTTATATGGACAACCCACCAATTGCAATTAGCTGTTATGTTTCTGGGGGGAGGGGGGTAAGCATGGAATGTTTTTCAAGCTACCTTAGATTTATAGAGAAAGCTACAACATATAAAGTGCTAAACGGCAGTGGAATATGTGGAGATAATGAAGAGTACTCAAGCTCAAAAGTCAAGTATGAAAGTTTGTGCGTGTCTGTATATATATTGTAAGTAAACAGTTCAGAAAAATATGCTTGCAAATCTTTACCAGATGCATCAATTGTATACTCCAAACGGTCACAGCCGATCTCGGAGCAGCCATTGCATCTTTGTCAACCGACATGTCTTTCAATATCATTCTTATTTTATTATATTGATTGAACTGAATTTATTTTATTATTAGTTTTTTTTATTACTAGTATACCAATTGTTAAGTCATTGTAATATTTTAAATAAAGAAAATATTAATTATAGTGTTAAAAATGGAGGGATATTTTCCTTGAAATATAAGGGTCAATAGCATGAAATGTGTGTCATGGACCTATAGTTATTTTTAAGTGACTACAATTATAGGTTTATAATAACTTGTTTTCTACTTTCATCAGTGGAATTTACCAATCATCTGAGTATAATAAACGTCATTCTTGTAATTTCTGGGCGGATATTTGAAGAGGCCGTACATGCATATTTAAGCTTTAGAATCATACCATCTGTAGCTTAAGAGGACCAAAATTTTGAATCCCACGGTCTCTACTTCCCTGAGGCCTAAGGATAAACTATATCCTTTTTATATCTTTTTATATCCCCGCTCCGAAGGAGCGGGTTTATACTGTTTAATTTACCCTTATATGTCTGTCGGTCTGTCTGTCCGTAAAAAATATTTGGTCTCAGTTTTCTCAGCAACTACTCATCACATATATTTGAAATTTTAGTACATTTTTGCTGAGGCATGCCATATGGTGCGATTCATTTTTGTACGAATCTGCCTGATGTCAACTTCCTTTTTAGCTCACCTGAGCCGAAGGCCCAAGTGAGCTATTCTGATCAAAATTTGCCGGTTGTCTGTCGACGTCGTCGTTGTTGTCGTTGTAGATTTTACACATTTTCATCTTCTTCTCAAAAACCACTGGGCCAATTTAAACCAAGCTTACCAGAAAGTATTCTTGGGTGAAGAGGATTCAAGTTTGTTCAAATGAAGGGCCAAGCCCTCTTCCATGAGAAGAATATTATGAATTTATGAAAAATTAATGGTATCTTTTAAAAACCTTCTTTTTAAGAACCATTGGGCCAGGAATGATTAATCTCATAAAGAAAATTCCTCAGATAGTGTAAATTCAAGTTTGTTCAAATCAGAACTCCCCGGGGTAAGGTGGGGCCATAATGGCTTATCGTACCCTAGTTTAACGTAGGAATATATACAGGAAAAATCTTTCAAGAATCTTCTCCAGAACCATTGGGTCAGGAAAGATGAAACTTATGTAGAAGCATCCTAAGGTAGTGTAAATTAAAATTTGTTCAAATCCAGACCCCCGGGGTGAGGGTGTGGCCACTATGAGGGATCAGTTTTGCTTAAGATTAAATAAGAAAAATCTTCTCCAGAACAGAAAAGTTTTGTTTAGTCAAATTGACATATAAGCATATGCAAGTAGTGAAGATTGAAATGTATTCAAATAATATCCCAGGGGCGGGGGGTTGCGAGGGGACATGATGGGAGATTAAGTGATATGTTGGAAAATCTTCTTTTCAAGTACGGCAAAATTATACATGTATGCTTTATTGATATAAAGACAATCTCAAGTAATGAAAAAAATCCAAATCGCCTCTCCCCCAACAGGTAAACTTTTCAATACTGAGCTGATTTGTATTTAATTTTTAACTAGCTCATGTGCTCAGGTGAGCGATGTGGCCCATGGGCCACTTGTTAGCTCACCTAAGCCGAAGGCTCAAGTGAGCTTTTCTGATCAAAATTTGTCCAACGTCTGCCGTTGTACACTTTTCACATTTTCATCTTCTCAAGAACCAATCTCAACCAAACTTGCCACAAAGTATCCTTGGGTATAGGGGTTTCAAGTTTGTTTAATTGAAGGGCCACGCCCTATTCCAACGGGAGATAATTATGAATTGGCAAAACCTTAATGGCATTTTTAAAATATCATCTTCTCAAGAACCAATGGGTCAGGAAAGATGAAACTCATGTACAAGAATCCTCAGGTAGTGTAGAATCAAGTTCCTTCAAATTATGACCCCCGGGGATAGGGCGAGGCCAAAGTGGCTGATTAAAGTTTTACGAAAGTATAGGGAAAATCTTTAAAAATCTTAATACATGTATCAAGAACAGCAAAGCCATGATTGGAGATATTTATATGGAAGCAATTGCAGGTAATGTAGATTCAAGTTTGTACAAATCATGACCCCTGGGAATAGGATGGGGCCACAATGGCTGATCAAAGTTTTACATAGGAATATATAGGGAAATTCTTTAAAAGTCTTCTTATCAAGAACAGCAAAGCCATGGTTGGTGATATTTATAAAGAAGTATCCTCAGGTAGTGTAGATTCAAGTTTGTACAAATCATGACCCCTGGGGATAGGATGGAGCCACAATGGACGATCAAAGTTTTACACAGGAATTATAGAAAAAATCTTTTTAAAAAATGTATTCTCAAGAGCAGTGAAATGTTTATTTCTCATATTATATGGAAGCATCTACAGATAGTGTAGATTCAAATTTGTACGAATCATGACCCCTGGGGATAGGGTGGGGCCACAATGGACGATCATTTGAGTTTTACATGGGAATATATAGGAAAATCTTTAAAAATCTTCATCTCAAGTACAGTGAAGCCATTATTTGTCATACTTTAATCTTCTCAAGAACATCATAGCCATGGTTGGTTATATTCATATTGAAGTATCCATCCTC